GAATGACCCTGGCTTTGTTGTCAAATAATTGTTTGACAGTTGTTAAATATGGGGTTATGTTTTATCTCTGAATGTTTGGGATGAAATATTTTAATAAGGACAGTTCGAAGTTGGAATCTCAATTGGGGTCTTTTCAATTGAATTCAATGTACAGCATGTACAGTTTGGACATTTCTGTAATGTGAATGCTACTTATGTTTGCAGAATGTCTGGATGAATGAATGAGTCAGTCATCTGCACAGCATCAATGGAAAAAGAGAAGCAATGAGGAACAAGAGAAGAGTAGCAGTGAGTGGTAAATATTTGAAATTATTCTGTTTGGTTTATCATGTTCCTGAAGCTATTCTGCAAATATTTCTTCAGTTTGCTTGTTCTTTATCACCTGTTGACATGGATGGCCTAATTATCAAAGGCACCACAACTTGCTGTGCTTAGTTGCATCTCTTGGGCTTGACAGAAACCGATGGTCGTGGGTTTGAAACGAGGGTAGCATCATACACTTGCTTGTGGGTTTCATCAAAATGGTAAACATGTAAGACCTGCATCACTTCGGGCTTTCTTCCCACATCAAGCTTTCATGCCATGATATAACTGGAATACTGTTCAAAGAGGCGTTAAACCCAATTCACTCATTTAACACCACATCCAGCAATAGTTCGGCTAAATGACAAGGATTATAAATAATCAAATCTCAACTAGACAAACCAGTGATTAATGTTATGAGCTCGATCCAGACGCACCGATGATGACTGTTATGGACAACATCCCACGTTATTGGGGTACTATTACAAGCGATCAATGAGCCCACTTGCTACCTCATCTATTACTTTGGCTTGTATGGCAAGCATAGGTTGCTAGGAACATTTTAAGAGATGTCAGTTAATGATTGTTTCAACCCATCAGCATGGAACAATATATATCTCAAATGTTTGGTATATAACAAGACTCAAAGATGATAAATTAAGTGAATTTGCTGCCTTTTATCTGTAAGTACATGTTGTAACAATTCTTTTCTATTGCTACAATCTTTATACATAATTCTGCAGAAACTGAAGTCCAGCTTGACGGTCTGGAAGGACCTTTCCAGATTTCCGAAGTGATTGGCAGACAGCGATGAGGAGAGTCCTGTTATCTCAATGGGGGCCTACCGAGAAGTTATATGCCAGTTGACACTGGGACACACTCAAAGGCTTGTCTGGCTAATGTGAGAAGACCAACCGATGCAAGTCGGAGTGGGACCCTTCAAGGACGTTGAAGAAATTATTGTCTTTGGCCATGTTGTAATCACTTGAAAGGAATGATGTTAGCGACTATTTGTCTATAAATGTGGACCCAAACACCAAATAGAATGTTCACAATTCTACTAACATAATGCAACAGGGATAGAGCCCATCTGGCCTCCCCTCATCCTGGTTCCTGTTTTTCCATGGCAATATAGAAGGAAAAGGATGTTTGAGGGCAAGTAACTCTGAACTGGTGAGCATGGTCTGCTGATGCTTTCAAGCGAACAGTTATCCCGCTCTGTTATGAGTATTGAAGAATAGGAGGAAATTGCATACTGCATCAGGAACCATCATGTGAACACTGTTCAATGTGTGATATAGGCATATAAATAAAAGAAATTGATAATTTGTTTGTTGTTTATGTTTCATTAGCCAGCTGTGTAAATGGGGATTTTCCAATATTTTGCCTCAGTTTGATAGCCACAGTTATCGTATGAAACCATGCATTGCTTGGACATCTTTGGAATCACACATTGTTCTGTTATGTCAAAGGTCAATGTCATAGCCAGACAATAAAAATGTTAATGGCCAAACTCTTTCTTAGGGCAGGGATAGAAGTTGGCAAAAGGACATACATTTACTTTTTCTCTAATGTGTCTTTTCCTGCAGAAGTCTAAATCACTCTTATACATATAGTTGTATATCATTGTCATATGTTTGTCAATATATCACTGAATGAAGCACTTTACAATTGTTTTTGAAATAGTCGCAACTGTTATTGAAGGTCAAATTAGCTTTCAATGTCTTTCAGTCAAAATGTTCACAGTAACTGAGGAAGAGCTCTCTGTAGTGTGATGAAATCTAGTACATGTCACCCTCAGAGTGAGGCATATTGTGTTTCAAACTTAAATGAAGCTGGTATGCTCGTAACAAGTACTTGTACCTTTAAAAATAATCATATTATCATCTCACTAGGACCAAAGGCCCAAGTGAGCACACAGTCGATGAATCTGGAAGTCTGAACATGAAATTTAAGGATATCATCATACTTGTATTAGAACTGATGTTTATTCATTAAACAGCTTAACATCTAAAAAGAATTATAGATGAAATTGAAAAAAATGTCTTCTCAAAAAGTACATGCCCATAGATCTCAACTTTAAGGGGATATTTACAACTAAAATGACACAGAATATTACTACAGCTATCTGATATGCCCAGGCTAACATTATTTACCAGCAATAAGACATCTCGAAAAATTGCATCCGGATACCTTCAGCAATGTTCAATTTTTTGGTTAGTTTCCAATATATATTTAGTTGTTTCACACTTATTTGAACAAAATTCACCCCCCCCCCCCAAGTTGTGACATTTTTTTGGAAACTCAGAATGAGGTATCCGGTGCCGGATCCTTGGTATCCGGTCCCGGGTCCTTGGACACCCAGATTTAGGTATCCGGTGAGGTATCCGATGCCGGATTCTCAGATTCCAGGTGGCATACTTTCAGGTGAGGTGTCCATGCCGGATACCACGGATCTGGTATCCGGCAAGGTATCTGCCACCGGATACCCGGACGCGTTTTGGGTAAGTGTCCGGGGGTATCCGGATACCGGAAAATGCATTTTTTTGCTGTGTATCAACCCAGGCTTGCACAAAGAGGCGACTCTGCTTGTAAGAGTTGACTATCAGGGTCGGGTCGTGGTGTTCGCTTTCATAGTTAATGCATGTTATCGTATCCCAATTGCTAAGATCCATGTTCATGATGTCAATCACTGGATTGTCTGGTCCAGACTTTATCATTTATAAACCGCCGTCATATAGCTGGAATATTGCTGATAGTGGCGTTTAACAAAAAACAAACAAAACAAATAAACAAGGTTGACCTCGTTATATTCGTTTTGATTAGATAACCGTGACCTCGTTAAGTTCACACTTGACAGATTATCTGAATTTTTTCCTTTTATTCAATGTCATTTGTTAAACATTCGGGTCCTTTCGATTTATTTCCCTTATTACATAATTCGGCAGGCAGCAATGGTCCCGTCCCTATGCTGTATATATGTTGTAAATATGCTGCATATGTATATGCTTAAAACAAACTACGGTCATAACGATCAAAAATTAGTTGCCCCTTCTAATTCGTTACAACCATAGTTTACTGTACTTTGATCACCGTACTGGTCCTGGTGCTTTAAATGTATTCAACAGACCCGTGAAAATAACACTGCTTTATCTTATCATTTATTTTAAATGAGGCAGTCAAAGCTCAATGTTCACCTCTCCTGGAGGCCATTATGTAACGGCCAGGTAAAATACAACCCAGTGCTTACGTTTGTTTGTTTGTTTGTTGTTTAACGCTGCACTCAGCAATATTCCAGCTATATGACGGCGGTCTGTACATAATCGAGTCTGGACCAGACAATCCAGCGATTGATATCATGAGCATTGATCCACGCAATTGGGATCGATGACATGCATCAACCAAGTCAGTGAGCCTGACCACCCGATCCCGTAAGTCGCCTTTTACGACAAGTATAGTCGCCTTTGAGGCAAGCATGGGTTGCTGAAGACCTATTCTACCCCGGATCTTCACGGGTCCCCGTGCTTATGTCTACAGGTCTCTTCCTTTAGTACGGTAATTAGTGGAACCCTCTCCCTCAAGTGTATCATTCTTGATATAACCTACTCTCATTAATTAAACGCTGCTCTTTCCGAACGTCACGGCTATGGAGCTGAGACAAAGAGACAAAGCCATCATAAAGTAATTAAAGTCCAATAAAAACAATCCTCCGCAAATCTCATATGATCACTGATAGTTGTACTACAGACGGTTAATGTCAAATCACAATAAAAGCATTTCAATGGCAATAACATTTTCCAGGACCATGTATTCTCTTAACACCATCGTCTTTAGAAGCAATGGTCGTATCAAACAAGATGGATCTATTAAGTACTCATATTTTTCCCACAAAATAACATCTGAAAAGAAGACATCAGCAAGTACATGTGTATTATCATTTTTCGTCAGGACATCAAAATGTTCTCCCCTTGTTACCACTTCCATGTTCAGCTTAACACGGGTCCTCCATTGTTCAAAAGTTTGTTCATCCTGTAATGTCACTCGTTGCACACGAGTGGCGAACAGGGTGCACACCCGTATAACACGCGTGGCGGACGGGTTCCACACAAGTGACCAACCCGGTGAACACGGGTTGCGTAACGCGTTGCCCATGCGTGTAAGGGGAATGAAGTTCTAGGCAGTAGTGTACCTCTCATCACTTAGTTGTAGTCACTCCAGCTTGATAACGGTGTAAGAAGCTGACATCCCTACATTCTCTTCCTTATGTATGCTGCTTGCTACCTGTTACCTGTTGTTGTCAAGGTTAATCTGCTTATCACATCATATCATGCTGTATACCTCTCATCACTTGGTTGGAGTCACTCCAGCTTGATAACGGTGTAAGAAGCTACATCGAAATGTCGCTATATGCAACTATGATTTCAACTGTGTACAAAGATGAACAACTGATGAAAAATGTGTTGCACTCCCGCAATGCTAATACAATATCATCTCTGTCAATATTCCTGAAGAAGATTTTTGAAATTAGACGTTAATATTTTATGTAATCTTATTATTACCTACACATGACTTGACAATGTTGATACAAAAAAACCCACTTCTGTTCAATAGGTCATACGGCCTAAAATATTGAATAAACTTCTGTCTGTCTGTCTATATGCAATAAACCAGGAGTTGCTATCAATAAAGTTTTATTTTTTTCTCATCTGATCATTAATTGTCAAATACAATTGGACAATTCCCTGCTTCTGACTTACCGACCAGAACTAGAAATAAATGAACGCGTTAAACCAACGAATTGGTCATATTCAGATCTATGCTTTGAGTGATTGATTGACATGAGGGAAAACTTTAACTTTCCCCCCAAAACCCCCCAAAAGTATTTATGTTTTGCCATGTATAAATATCAGTTCTTTCTGTGGTCAATTGCCTGACTATCTATTGCAGAGGAACACATGGCGTAGTTTGGGTTGATAGAAATAACACCGCCAACATCGCGAGGATAAATATGCGAGTCATTGTTACACTGTTAATTATTCACACGAACGTTAGACATTATCGTTGATCATACACAACTGCTATCGTACGCTGTGAATTGCTATCAATTGTATTGCAGGGTCATTATATTACAATGGTTTTCCTTGTTTCCTAGTCAATTTGATAGTATTATCAGCAACGTTTATTCAATTTCCTGTAAACAGAATATGAACCCAACGATAAAGAAAGGAAGAAAATTATGAAAATACGCACTTGAATGCAAAGCACAGGACGGGGAAACGGTAACAAGAAAGGTAAGAAGGTGTTCGCGAAAAGGGTAAGCATTTTCTGCCCTACCAGTAGCACCCGCCATTCACACAATATGCATAAAAAGTAAGTATCTATTGCTTGACGCAGCACAGCTGTACTCCTGCCAGGTACTCTTCAGGCTGTATACAAACTAGAGAATCAAGTGATCGATGAACCAGAAAATCCAACGACACGACAGTACCATTACCGATCTTGTAGAAACTAATAAACTAATCTGACTTCACAGCTGTGCCGACCCGGGAAGATCCGGGGTAGAATAGGTCTTCAGCAACCCATGCTTGCCGTAAAAGGCGACTATGCTTGTCGTAAAAGACGACTAACGGGATCGGGTGGTCAGGCTCGCTGACTTGGTTGATGCACGGTCATCGATCCAAATTTCTTGGATTGATGCTCATGATATCAATCACTGGATTGTCTTGTCCAGACACGATTATTTACAGACCGCCGTCATATAGCTGGAATATTGCTGACTGCGGCGTTAAACAACAAACCAACCAACCAATCACAGCTGTGCCACAAGTCAATTTAGAGTAAGGCTACTCTATGTCAACACTAACTATCCAAGAAAGATAAGTATTGCTTACTATTGGTAAGTCGATAATTAAATTGGTCTCATGTATTTTGGTTATAACTGATTTTCAACCTTTATTGTAACCATGTTCAGTTATGTCTGGCTTGTGACAATATGCTACAGCAAGTGAGTGAATGTGGTATTCACGTCACATAATATGGCAACACTGTTGTAACGGCAGTGACAACCCTCAAATATTAGAAGACCGCCTCCGTGGTCTAGTGGTAGAGCGTCCGCCCGGAGTGCGGAAGGTCCGGGGTTCGATCCCCAGCCGCGTCATACCAAAATACGTTAAAAGATGGTACTTGTTGTTACCCTGTCTGGCGCTCGGCATTAAGGGGCTAAAACAAGGACTGGTCGGCTTGGAGTCAGTATACTGTATACAGTATACTGTGTCTGAGTGGTGTATTCATGTTAAACTGCGGCATGGTATCTCAGTGTGCTAGCACTATAAATCGGCATCAGTCCGGACTAGTACAAGCAGCCACACACACACAAACACGTGCAAGCACGTCGCTATATAAGTGCAATAATCTTGGACGCGACGTTAAACCCCATTTCACCTCACCTCACCTCACATCACCTCAAATATTAAAGCAACAGTGGTGTGATGTGCCGTGATGTGCCGTTGAGCCAAATATCCAGACACACCAATGGTGGATTAAAATGAGCAATGGTAACATAACAGCCCCACATTGTCACAAACGGCTTAGTAGACATTGAATGCAGACGATTCCAAACCTCTGGAACCCGTTCAAGAACACTGATATAAAAAGTATGTCAATTTCTGTATTTGCCTAAATTCTAAAATAAATGTTTATATTCGCTTCCAGAAATCTACAATGTATTTCTTTATCTTTCTTGGGGTTGAATTGAATTTATGTGATTGACGTCCTTGAAGGATATTTAAAACGACATTCCATATAGTACTCGAACATCTTGTAGATGTCAATATTTACAAACTTCGAGTTTGTAGATAAAAGGACAAAATTGTCACAGTGGTGTGATGTGCCGTAGTTATCTGTGCACAGTTGCGTCCCTTAGCCAAGCAAGGATCCGCTCTATGGTCAAGGTGTTTGATCCAACATTCATCCAGAGTGTGATCCTTGGATTCTGAGTACCATTACAGTGATGTCGGGTGTCGTTAGTTCAGTAGGAACGCGCCCGTCCGTCAACCATGAACACCAGCTTGGTAGTTTCATATGTTAAATAAATTCATTCGAGATTAGATCATTGCAAACACTTCCTGGGTAAATTTAGTATGAATGTCGACTGATACGAGGAATAACCGGGAAGAAAGTTTAAATATGTGACTTCATGCAAAAAAAATACGGTCAGTTTCTTTAAAACCCGTAAGGAGAAGTTTAAGATTAAAGACGATTATTCGTACCCTACTCTGTTGATCTCACACCAGCGATAACTGAAAAAACCCAACTTTCTTCAAACCATGCAGGGATATCTTATTTTCTGGTGAATCTCAGATAAACAGTTACCCTATAGCTATCCTATCCCACAAAGCAATTCTATGCTGTTTCATCTCACTTAAGTAAATAGCTAATCTCATCTAACATAAGTAAATATCCTGTCTCATCGCACATAAGCCGATTTCCTGCCTGATCTCACATAAAGAGTTACCCTGTTTTTTTTCAAACTAACTCAATCCTGTACAGGCGATTTTTTTCTGTATTTCAGGCGATAGGCCCATGTACAAAAAAAATAAATACATGAATAAATAAATACATGAATAATTAAATAAATAAATAAATAAACAAGTAAATACATAAATAAATAAATTCATTCATTCATTCATTCATTCATAAAGAAATAAAGAAAGAACAAAGAAAGAACAAAGTCCTGGCGATCGTACTAAAGCAATATCTTATCCCACATCATCTTGAGTTGTTATGCTGTCTCGTCGCCCAATATATCTGAGCAGCACCTACATATTCGCTACTTATAGTTATAACTTCCCTCTAACACTAAATATATCTACAATACGATTTAGCAGGAGTTACCCATACACCATGGCAAACTTACAAAACCAGTAGACGGGTTGTGTTACTTCCTGGTTTGTTTGCTCACACTCAACATGTCCGGTACAAGGACATGCTCCGGTAATATAGGCCCTTGAAGATTACGGGGTAGAATAGGTCTACAGCAACCCATGCTTGCCGTAAAAGGTGACTATGCATGTAGGTTTCAGTTGTATCAACTGCATTCCATCCCTGACAAAGAAATATACTCTCTATATGAACGTATGTTGGGCGGTATGAATAGGTATAAGTAAGATATTGATTGGATGTAACACACTTGACATACAGTCGAACACCGTTGTGTCGAACTCGGATGTGTCGAACTGTTTGTTTGTCTACGCCTATATATATATACATATACATATATAGGCGTAGACAAACAGACAGTTCGACACATCCGAGTTCGACATATACATATATATAGGCGTAGACAAACAGACAGTTCGACACATCCGAGTTCGACACAACGGTGTTCGACTGTATGTCAAGTGTTACATCCAATCAATGTCTACGCCTATATATATACCCTTTTGTCTCGAATTTTATGTATCGTGCTGACATTTAAATAGTATTATTTGTTATTATTGTATGACGTGTTGATAATCCAGTCAAATACATATAGAATATATGATAAAGGTTTTGTCATACCTACAGATATGTATACATAGTCAGTCAAATCGAAATATTGCTCTGGTCCAAGGAGCCACAAATATATATATGTTTCACTCGTATCATGTGACATGATGGTACGAATGGATCACGTCGAATATAGTATTCAGTGTTGTGTACATACACACAGTGGCTTTGTAATCAAAATCGTGGCATGACGTCATGCAGGTTGATACGTTCACATATGCAATTTACTTCCAGACCCCAGTAAGCGTACCCAACCCAGGAACAGACTCGCCCGTGTGGTCCAGATGCTAACTCTGCTGCTGACACAGACTACGCCTCCTTGTGCCTACAGATACACAGTCAGATCTTATAATGGAACAGACAGAAGGTAAGCAGAATCTAAATTAAGTAACCATGAACAATGTTCATATACCCTTCACCCGTGAAGATCCAGGTTAGAATAAGTCAAGGGGCGACTAACGGGATCGGGTGGTCAGCCTCGCTGACTTGGTGTGATACATGTCATCGTATCCCAATAGCGTGGATCGATGCTTATATATCAATCACTGGATTGTCTGTTCCAGACTCGATGACTTACAGACCGCCGTCATATAGCTCCAATATTGCTTGAGTGCGCCGTTAAACAATAAATAAACAAACAAACAAATGTACCGATCGCAAGAATAACCATAATGTATGACACACTGAAGACAACCAATAAGAAAGTACGTGTACGCCAACCTGTGGGCATGCCATTGCAAACATCACATTACGATTTCTGCTACGGGTATGCTCTATGGGTTAGAATCGGTCCCCCACAACCCATGCTGGTCGTAAAAGGCGACCAAATAGATCAGCTGGTCAGGCTCGGTGACTCAGTTGATTGCACGTTATCGTCCCCAGATGACATGGAGCGTTGGTCACCATTGCAATAACTGTTTGTCTGGTTCAGTCTCGATTATTTACAGGCCGACGTCATACATGTATAGATGCGGCGTAAAACAACACAATCACTACAACGGTATGTGTATCATGATTTATCGACGCTCAAATACATACAGAATGTACAATGAAGGTTGTTGATACATAAGCTTGTCATCTCACCGAGTAGCGTTGTCACAACTAATATTTTGTAACAAATATATTGTATTCACTAACAAAAAACAGTGAAATAAAATTGTGGATCACTTCAAGCCAGGATGTTGCATTGTCGCTTCAGTGTTCTTGACCTCGAGTCATGACATGTGGTCTTGAACGTTCTATAACACCACTCTCAAGGGTTTGTCGTCACTTGGCAGCGATAGGGGATTTATTTCACTGCTCAACAATGTGAATGCCAAATATATACAGTGAATAGTCTGTCTTTTCATTGCATACACTAGAAACGTGTGAGTATGTTGATAAAATGTTTTTGTGTTGTCAACAACGAGAACAAATCCAGCACTAATGCATACACGTTTTATAATTGGATCAATTATAGCTATGTAAACTGTCAATCGGTGTATCATGGAGTCAGTGAGTGAGTGAGTTTGACTTAAAGCTTGATATGGCAATAGTCAAACGTTTAACGTAACCTACTTAACCCATTATGTTCAGGGGAGTTGCGGTGGCGTAGTGGTTAAAGCGTTCGTCTAGCCGAAGTACCGGGTTTGATTCCCCTCGTGTGTTCAATATGTGAACCCATTTCTGGTGTCCTTGATCCATGACAGGACTTAGTGGCGTTGAATATCATATGATAACACTACTGTTGAGGGTTTATCGTCACTAGGCGTGAGATGTGGGATTCATTTCGGCATAAAAACATACCCACTCACCCATAGTGTTCAGGGTCTCCTTTATATAATTGATGTATATCAGTATCTAAATGACGATAATGAGTTTGGAATCCAGTCATACAGTAACGCCTCGTCTTCTACCATGTGGAAAATATTTTAACACATTGCACGTATCGTATCTCGTGGTAAGGTTCCTTATAGTATTGTGTCGTGTAATTATTAGCATAATACGTATCAGACGTTTTGCTATACGTCCGTGTACCTTATGGCAATGATCATGATACGTATCGTATTGTGTTGCAATTTGACAAGTATAACTAATACATTTGTAAACTGTGGACAGCACATACTTTATACTGCACATCGCATCGTGCATCACGTATGTAGTAGGAATGTCGAAACCTAACTTATTAATTTATCATTTTATGATACATACTATATATACCTACCTTATATTTTTTTTTATTGTTTTTAGTATTTTATTTCTTTTTGGTGTACACAAACAATATGTTTACAGAATATAGTTCACATGCAATCTTAGATACATACAAGTTACAAAGTATATCAAAAGATGATAACAAACAAAAACTATTCCAGTGTCATATTGTTGGATTGTGCAAGTTCGTGGTTTTAAACGAATAGGTGGTGACAGAGAGACCAAAATGTCATGAACTGTGTGTATTTACATTGTGAATATGATATATTTCTGTCGATGTAATATGAATCGGTTATTTCTTGTTTGATGTGTGGGAAATTTGGTATGGAGTCGGAAAAGTTTGATTTGAATATGTTTTGCTTTGTTACAGTTAGAATATGATTTAATACATCGTTTCGTTTTTGTTGTTGTATTTATATGTATGTCGTAACATTATTATTTATATTGTGTGGTAATTTACCTAAAACTTTTAAGCGAGAAGGAAGAAAGTCAACCTACAAAATGTATTTTCGGTTTCAGATAAAGTGTAATAATAATGGATAATGATCATGCCGTAACGTTATAAATTTAGACAATATCAAAGTTACTCTTTGCCTATTATGTTCGCTTCTTTGCGCCTGTATTTAGAAATAGAAATAATAACTACAGCTCCTGTTCATGGCGGATACAATAATAATCCCGATCAACACAGTATGTGTTTTATGTATTATAAACGTTATCCAGTAACTAATACATAATCTTAGGGCATCATTACTGTATTTGTCGTCTGTGATTTTCAGATATTTTTACGTTCCTGAATAATAAAACGATTATAAACAAATAACTTTAATATTCAATTTTCTTTACAGGAAATACAATCGAAATTACGAAATATTATTACACAAGCTTTCAAAACCCTTTACATCCACTTTATAAGTATAATGGTGATCATCGCTATTGTATATGATGATGGTAGCCCGGCACCATGACTGCGGAATAGCTGCATTATTTTGAAACAAATATGCAAATTTAACTATCAATATGAAATATGCATTAAACATTTCACAGACACAATTTCAGTATATCATGGTATCTCTATTTACATGTATACAATGATGACGATCAGGGTTATGACAAAGATACATTCATATAAAACACACCAGTTTTCATTCCCCTAAGCATCCCTCAGCCGTACCAGGATCCGGATCTACGTATCGTGAGATCGAATCCATGATTCGCCCTTGCTCTGAAAACATCCATGCTTGAAACTGTTAAAATAGTGGTAACCCTCGATGACGGCGTAGCGAGAATTTTGCTTTTCCTTCGCACGAAGCTGGATGCCTGAGAAGTGGCTTGACTCGTCTCAAAAAGGGCTATGAATATTGCCCGGAACAATTTCAAAAGTGTCCTGTCGTTATTTGATCTGTGTAATGATATCGATTCAAAGATGATTGATTCAGATCATGGTATCACTAAGGCCTTTGTAGACACGTCAAATTCAATGATTCACAGAGTTTATTTTAGGATGCATGTTTCACTGACTACTTTCAGGTAACACATTTAGCGTCGTATTCAGTGAAAGTCCACCGACCGCGTCCAAGAACATTAAACATGAACTCTACAACCTGACTATCGACAAGGATGCGCTGCGTCTCTGGGACCTCACGTCAAAGGACCTCATTTTGGAGTGGCCATACCTTTGCGTCAGGAGGTACGGGAGGACGCAAAACCTCTTCACAGTGGAAGCAGGTAGAAGGTGCAAGACAGGGAAAGGGGTCTTCGTCATGGAAACAACTGAAGGACAGGCGGTCATGGACCAGATCGTCGAGAGAACAAAACAAATCAGTGGTAAACGTGATAAGACGAAAACCACACCCCAAATAGGTAAATTAGTCGGTTCGTTTTGATTACCATTGACCTATGAAGCAAAGTTAAACAAATGACTGCATCTCTAAACGTATGTTCCTATGACCCTATTACTATGATGCATTACCTGCCAGGTGCAGTATGCGATGATTACTGAATGAATGAATGAGTATGGTTTTACACCGCTTTTTGCAATATTTCATGAATATCACGGGCTTCACACATTGTACCCATGTCGGGAATTGAACCCGTGTGGTGTGATGAGCGAACGCATTAACAACTAGGCTACTCGACTGCCTCACATGATTACTACACCCATAAGTTGTTACATCAATCTGAAGCGCTGTCACAATGCAAACACCAAATTGTGTATATGCCGTATTCAACACCACCAAAATTCATCGTTACCTCTACAGATGTAACAAAAATTGAAATAAACTCAACTCTTAAGTCCAAAAAATTCCTGTTTTGGTCATAAGGGCCATAACCGGATTGGGGAGACTCTCTGTTTGTACTGAATGTGTAGATCATTGTTCATGGTTATAGTCACAGACTGGATACAAGAACTCGCTTCACGAATGTCCTTGTGTAAGGTTTAGTCAGAGGCATGTCACTTCAACTTCCTATGATCTCCTTTAACTTAAATATTGCAACATTAGTGCATAATCTCAGGTGTATATATATCCACAACCCAAGCCATATCTGGTTATAATTTGTCAATAGTGATGGTACTGTGTACAACGAAACCTCATTATGTGGACCATCGGCACAGGCGTAGGTTCGATATTACACCATTGTTAGTATGTGCTCTGATGTCTAAAAGCGTATCGAGTTAACTGAGTTTGAATTTTTGTATTCTTCAGAAAAAGTGTGTACATCAGAAAGGGAAGTTTCAGAAGTGAAAAGTAAAGTTTGCGATCCTGATGGGAAGACAACAACGCCTTGCCTAGAAACAGCTGATGGATTAGCGGTTGCACACATCGGATCGGGATCAGGACCCAGGGCTTTCACTGGATCAGAACTGAGGACACCAGCTGGAGAAGAATCCAGAGCTACAAGTGGAGAAGAACCCAGAGCTACAAATGGATCAGAACCCAGAGCTACATGTGGATCAGAACCTAGGGCTACAAGTGGATCAGAACCCAGAGCTACAAGTGAATCAGAACCCAGAGCTACATGTGGATCAGAACCTAGGGCTACAAGTGGAGAAGAACCCAGAGCTACAAGTGGATCAGAACCTAGGGCTACAAGTGGATCAGAACCCAGAGCTACATGTGGATCAGAACCTAGGGCTACAAGTGGAGAAGAACCCAGAGCTACAAGTGGATCAGAACCTAGGGCTACAAGTGGAGAAGAACCCAGAGCTACATGTGGATCAGAACCTAGGGCTTCAAGTGGATCAGAACCTTGGGCTTCAAGTGGATCAGAGACAGGACAGAACCTTGACAACGAGGAAGGTGCAGTTTTATCGGGATCAGGCACACGTGATGATATAGAAGAAGGGGAAAATGGTAAATCGACTTCACTTGAGCCTATAGAAAGTACAGAAGCTCCAAGAAGTCAGGCTGACACAACACCGGTTCCCGGTGAGATTATTGTGTTTGATTTACCAAAGAACAGACGTTCAAAGCAGTCTCGTCCCAATTATGAGAATGTGAAGTTCATGCCCAAATACAATGTGAATACGTGTCTGGAATAATTCGTCATTGACAACATCCATGTGAAATTTATCGTGGGTTCGAATCCCAGTTCGCCCCGATTATGCTTCTAGGTTTGTCAGCACCACAGCGGCCTTAAAAGCAACTCACGCCCCCACTCACTCCCCCAATCACTCACTATGCTCGATTAGGGGATTGGGCAGTTAGGCAAGAAGTTGGCATCACTATGGGTACCTGTTGTGCTTCCCTTCTTGCTGATCTGTTTTTTTTATGCATATGTATCGAAGTTTTGCTCAGATTGACAAAAGCAAATTACGGAAATTTTCATCAGAAGTTTAACGTAAGCTTTAGGTATATCTTCATATTTATATCTACGTCAGAGTCAGAGTCAGAGTCAGAGTGGCAAAAACACCTTCCTCCAGAGGGATGTCTTAAACTTTCCAATAGTCAACTTCTCCCTTTATGTCGATCAAAATTCCAGCAGCTCCAGCATTTGGTGTCCATATATCACACCTTTTGCAGCTCGTCACACGACTGAATGATTATATCTTGTCATTACATCTGTAATGAAATTGTTGCACTGCCTTTGTTGTGCACTCGAATCATGTGATTTCCTCTGGACATCATACAAGTTCGACTGCATTTGAGGCTATCAAATGAATGGAATGGTTTCATGCGAAGAATGGCGTGATTTTCAGAATTGACATGTCAGTTTGTTTGTTGTTAACGCCTGGTCTGTAAATAATCGAGTCTGGACCAGACAACCCAGTGATGGACATCATGAGCATCGATCCATGCAATTTGGATACTATGACATGCATCAACCAAATCTCCGAGGGTGCATAGTCGCCATTTACGGCAAGCATGGGTTGCTGAAAATCTATTCTACCCCGGATCTTCAATTTTATTAGACACTTTTATTGGAAACATTTCTTTTGATGCCCGATCTATATGCTGTCCGACTCGTGCTGACTCATGTTGTCTCTCAAAATTAAAGCAATCTACTGAAAGAACACTTTTTGGTTGTTAGTAAATGGATCTTTGTTTTTGAAGTACAAGATGCCTTCATGTTGTACATATGTTCCTGATTTTCCGAAGCACCACCCGAGGACTGACATGTAAACCATGTGTTCTAGCAGTCCCATTTGCAGCATACGTGGGGGCAGGTTTACCCTCATTTCCGTGTGACACCACTTTCAACATTATCATTTGACGGAAGTCTTATCTTTTTTATAATATGTGAACCATGGTTGGTCCAGTCGCTACACACAAAGAAACACGCAACACCACGCAAAACCATGGCGCGTCTGTGATCTGGGGTTCGAAAGTTCGAATCATAGCTTCAACCGGATAATGTCATTTGTCCTGTCAGACCCTTCCTCGTGCTCCAAACTGTAAACGTCTGTATTTTGGAGCTTTCCTCCGACATTACACTGACGCACCGGCATATTCCTAAACATGTCATAGAGCAGGGTTACAGCCAAACCCATTATTAGCAATAGATAGCGTTACATATCCAGTAAATCACGGTTATAACGAACACGCTTATAACGAACTGACGGATATAACGAACTTACTTTTTGGTCCCGACTACTTGCTGTAGTCATGCTGTATATGTACTTATAACGAACTACGATTATAACGAACTAAAATTAGTAGTCCCTTTGATTTCGTTATAACCGTAGTTTACTGTACAGTAAACAGCTAAAGTCAGCAAGTTCTTCGTATAACGTTGAAATTCATCGCCAAATATTCACTATATCAAACTTCGTTGTAACCCGAGTTCATTGTGATTGGTAATGTAGCGTGTGAACTGTCCGTTAACAATCAATGAAATTACATTACGTTTTCAGTAACTGAACTATGAAATTCAATCAGGAAGCTATGTATTATTGCCAAAAGGGTCGGAGACGTAATTTGAGTGTTATGCATTGCGTAAACTGTAATTCCTATGTACTCAAACTTGATTTGTGAAATAAATTCCGTGTACTAGATTATGTTAACTGTTGTAATAGGGCCCATTATTTGTTGCTGCTGCCCCATTTATGAGCCATTGTATTGCCTTTTATGTAAACCTTTTCCGGTGTTTTTCCATATTTCTGCAAGGGTGACTAAACTGCGCAGTTTGATATGGCTGTGCAGTGGTCAGTGTGATCTGACTGTGCAGTGGTGAGTGTGATCTGACTGTGCAGTGGTGAATGTGATCTGACTGTGCAGTGATGAATGTGATCTGACTGTGCAGTGGTGAGTGTGATCTGACTGTGCAGTGGTGAGAGTGATCTGACTGTGCAGTGGTGAGTGTGATCTGACTGTGCAGTGGTGAATGTGATCTGACTGTGCAGTGGTGAGTGTGATCTGAGTGCAGTGGTGAGTATTATATGACTGTGCAGTGGTGAGTGTGATCTGACTGTGCAGTGGTGAGAGTGATCTGACTGTGCAGTGGTGAGTGTGATCTGACTGTGAAGTGGTGAATGTGATCTGACTGTGCAGTGGTGAGTGTGATCTGAGTGCAGTGGTGAGTATTATCTGACTGTGCAGTGGTGAATGTGAACTGACTGTGCAGTGGTGAGAGTGATCTGACTGTGCAGTGGTGAGTGTGATCTGACTGTGCAGTACAGGTGAATGAGATCTGACTGTGCAGTGGTGAGTGTGAACTGACTGCAGTGGTGAGTGTGATCTGACTGTGCAGTGGTGAGTGTGATCTGACTGTGCAGTGGTGAGTGTGATCTGACTGTGCAGTGGTGAATGTGATCTGACTGTGCAGTGGTGAGTGTGATCTGACTGTACAGTGGTGAGTGATCTGAATGTGCAGTGGTGAGTGTGACCTGACTGTGCAGTGGTGAGTGTGACCTGACTGTGCAGTGGTGAGTGTGACCTGACTGTGCAGTGGTGGGTGTAATCTGACTGTGCAGTGATGAGTGTGACCAGACTGTACAGTGATGAGTGGGATCTGACTGTGCAGTGGTGAGTGTGACCTGACTGTGCAGCGGTGAATGTGACCTGACTGTGCAGCGGTGAGTGTGACCTGACTGTGCAGTGGTGAGTGTGACCTGACTGTGCAGCGGTGAGAGTGATCTGACTGTGCAGTGGTGAGGGTGATCTGACTGTGCAGTGGTGAGGGTGATCTGACTGTGCAGTGGTGAGGGTGATCTGACTGTGCAGTGGTGAGGGTCGTTTGCTTTGCTCTGCTCGATCTGGCACAACTTGAAATCTTCATGGGTAAGACTTCGTGCATCTCACATGAAGTTGAAGATGAATATCGTTCAAAGCAGCGTTCAACCAACGTCACTCACTCCAACTACATACATAGGGAAAATGTTGTCGTTCCCATTTTCGGGGCGTCTTGTTCTACATAACCAAGTTGGTACGATTTTCCAACAAAAGACATGCCAACATGTTCGTGCATGTGGCATACAAATGGAATACAATGAAGATCATCTTTGAATTCGCTAAAAACAAAACGACAACGCTAAAAAATAACCTTGATTATCAGCCGAAACATATTCCATTTGACAAAATCATATGAATCGATCACTGAATATCAGTGATGCATATGACGCCAGGTGTTCGCAAAAGTCAGATACGCATGTGTGATACATACACATCTTAAAATTACTACATTTGAGGCTTTATTGTTCTCATGTCAAAAAAGACAAGGGTTTGCAATTAAATTCTACGCGTTTTTATTTGCACAGACAGACAGGGCACGAGTGCGATGAAGCGCTCTCACCTTTGTGCACAGCTGTGGTATCAATAAAACAACACCACATGCCTAACCTATCACGTAACACCAACATTGTCGGTTTCAGTGAACATGATATATGTGCAGTGACATGAGGATATGTACATTGTTTCCCGTTTAGTTATATCATGCACAGTAAACTACGCTTATAACGAACACGCTTATAACGCTTAGACGACTGGGCCACCCGTGCCCCCATCTTTGATTCGAACTCATAACGAACACAGCGAATAAGATCGCTTTAGACCCATTACAACACCATAATACTGGTATAAACATCATAAATGGATATAAAATCGTGATATGGACATAACATCATTTATAACCGCGTATCTTTTGATATGAAATATATCAATACTCGTCGATAAAGGTTGTACCGACTCATGTTGATGTACTTGATATCAAAAGACACTTGGGGAAGAGAGAGAGAGAGACAGACAGAGAGATGAAATTCACTAGTATACTGTAGAACATATAGAAAACAATTCTTACACAACACGAATTGTTAGAGTTTTGTCTTCAGGGAAAAGTGATTACAGCTACAGATTCTGTACATCAAAGTTTAGATTTACAGCTTAACAAACGTTTTACCTTCATGAAATGAAACATTTTGGTATTATGTGACAAAATGCATCCAGTTGTGTGACAAAATGCATCCAGCTGATTCGATCTAAGAATTAATATAAAACAACTCAATCCGTCTAGCTACAATACAATGTCTTTATAGTGGAAATTAAACTGACTAAATATTTTGTCGATGTATTGTTTACCTCACCATGTCAGTTCTGTCAATCATCGAGCAATGGGTTTTTCTGGTAGATTATCGGCATGAAAGCGAGTGAGTGAGTTGGGTTTAACAGCGCTTTTAACAGTATTACTGTTATATCGCGGCGTGTCAGCTTATGTGGGAGGAAAGCCCGAAGTGATGCAGGTCTCAGACGTTTACCACATCGGCGAAACCCACGAGTTGTAGAAACATAATCAGGGCAAACCGGGATTCGAACCCACAATCATAGGTTTCTGGCGTGCCCAGTGGGCGCAACTCTGGACAGCGAATCGCGACGCCTTAGACGACTGGGCCCCCCGTGCCGCCTGCATGCAAGCCATGTTTGATACCTTACACTGCAAACACGAAAACGTCGTTTTTTCCCGTATATGGTCATTGGACGGAAAAACGACTAAAAATTCATTAAAATTGATTAATTGGTCAGCGTCTAGAAAGTGTCCAGAAAAGGGTCGAGTTTTTCAAGCGTAAAATGGACGGAAAAACGATGCTTTTTGCTCCGCCTTGTACAACTGTTAACGGCCAATCAGATGGCGCTGGTCCCCCGACGCACGTGATGTCCAAAGCTTCCTTTCGGAAGCTTTAGGTTTCGTATTTCTGGCATGCCTTGCTCTAGTATCTGTCGCGCGCAGACAGCGAGATTTGCTGATAAGCTAGTTTTAGGATATGTTACATGTTAATGGAATTCAGACACGCGCCAAGAAGTCAAACCAAACAATGTTACTAAGTTTATTGTGGTAACGGCTATGTACAGTTACCCCTATCGGATAATGGGTTGTGTTTCATTTGGTTATAACAATAACTAATTTTTTAATGTGAAGTTTACAAGATTTACGACTTGGACGCGAGGTCGGTCACATGACGTTCTTCACGTGACTGTATTCTTGAAAAGGCGTAAACACTGACTACTTCCACATTCCTGGGGAAAACCCTTGGAATTCCCTGGTACGAATTCATACAGAAGCGTGGTTGCAAGCCCATTTAAGGATACCCTCGCTACAACCCATCCCAGAGAGAAAAAACACGAAAAAAAATCCAAACTGTCGCAGTGACAATTTACAGAAATCTATGAATTTACCTTAGTTTCTATTTGACACATCTTCACAATCACCTTTCAATGATCGGCCAATTGATCAGTGATGCCAAAGGCTTGAAATAGCCAAAGGTTAATTAACAACTTCGAAAATATCTCCCGTCACGTTTATCGTGTCGGCCATTTTGACGTATTGTACTTGATGTAAATGTATGACGACGCTCTGTCACTGTAATTGACTTACTGAGGTAATTCTGTAAAAGATCTTCTCATCTAATGAGGATATTGTTTGGAATATATTTCTTGTAAACATACTAAAACATATGTTCCTCGCTTTGGGGGGAACTATTTTATTCCGGGGTGGCCCATTAAATCTAGTAGTAAGTCAAGGCACCATGCGTGATCTGTTATTTTATGTGTTTAAATTACGACGCAAGTATATTCTATTCAAATCAATTGGATAATTATGCTTTCTTTTACATATTACATAACATCACTGCACAAAATATGAACAGTTGCAGTAACACACTACGGTAATCGCATTAAACATCATGTTCAACTGTACAGTATTTCAGTATTTCAGTTATATCATGGTGTATCAGACTGATGTGGGATAAAAATCCGAAGTGGTTCAGGTCATCCAATGGGTGTTCGGGAAAAGGTGAGCGTATCCTGCCACACAAGTGGCACCCGTCACAAACACATGCAAGGACAAGCCAATTGTTCACCTGAACAAAGCACGGAAACACACAATGATGCCCGTCCTCAGTTTTACCGAGCATGTAAATTAGTTTGTCCGTCAAAAACATGGACGAGTATAAACGATATGTTCATTCACGTAATACATGTCATACATTTGACAAAATGTATTGACTCGGAGCATTATTGTTAATCACAGCGTATGCAGTTGAACTCATCACCCATCCCATTATTGATACCCTTCTTGAAGATCTATGAAATCAGAAGCTGCAACACTCTATCTTTTAACTGGATTGTCAGACTTCTATTTCATTACTCAGTTTTATTTGCACGGATTACTATGGAAGGGACATTGTCTCGTTGTCGCTTTGTCGCATTGACGCCTTTACAAAAACAAGCAAAACGTGTCAAAATTAACAAAAGCGCGACAATTGGCCATTTGTCGCATTGTCGCGTGTTCGCATTGTCACTCTTTGATAATCCTTTTCTTTATTTTACAAAAGGGCGACGATGCCGTAACGCGACATTTTCAAGGTCAAAATATGTCTCGTTGTCGCATTGTCGCCCCATCACAAATGTGTATAAAAGGCGTAAAGTTCAGTTATTGTTACAGTTAGGAAGTTCAACCTGATAAATATACCTCTTGAAATGAAAACACAAGTCCGTCCACGAGTCCATAACGTTTTATTGTGAGCTCTTCTCTAAAAGTGCTTAGTGTTCAACTCCCAGTTCCAAA